CTCTCTCTCTCTCTCTCTCTCTCTCTCTCTCTCTCTCTCTCTCTCTCTCTCTCTTTTTCTCTCACACATACACACACACATTTTGTTATCGCTTCTCGACATTTTGCAGCTGTGCACAATGTTACCGTTAATCATCAGGTCAACTAATAACTCCTGATAAATAAGCTTTCTCTTGCCCACCAGCCACAAGAAAATGCAATTTCGTCGATTATCACGTCCGAATTTCGATTATGCAATTTCGATCGCCCGTCTGAGAGAACGGTGGTTAATTGGATCAATTTGGAAAAATTGTTTTCATGGAAACGATAAGTTTAAGGAGGGTTTAAAGAGTACTATATAATAATCATAATAACTGGATACACGCGTTGTGCATACATTGTATCCGGATAATTGAATACAATTTCGTTCAGCATTTAGAAATTTGAAGAAGAAGAAGAAGAAATTGATATTGAATGTACATTGAACGTGTAAGGATGAAATTCCTTTTTCTCATTTATTGTGATATTTAAATTGTTAAAATTTTATATATTTTAAATAATAATTTTATTAAATTTATAATTTATAATTTCATGAAAATTCTTAACTTGCTTGTTTACATATATATATTACGTATATATATTATAAACATCGTTTTATGTGTTCATCAAATACCATCGAATCTATAATATGTTATAAAAAGAGAAAAATCTTACAATGAAAAATAAAAAAAATCTAAAAATACGTCTTAAAGAAAATAAAAATTTAAAATATTCTATGCTATCGTAAATTAATTTTACGCATATTTGACCAACTATTAAATATGGAAGATTAAAGTTTATTATTATTATTATTATTTTTATTATCGTTATTAAGTGAATAAGATGCAATTCTACGGCAAATCGGTTGACTTCCGGTTTTTTCGTTTTCCGTTCAATAATAAATTATCATAAAGACGAGATAATTCATTTGATAGGAATATAAATATAATTTTCGCAAAGTTCGAGCAATCTCTTCTTTGAGTAATCTCTCGTTCTTGGAATTTATAAACAAAGATGAGAACTCTAATAATCTAGAAATTCCATTAAAGATATTTTACGCATATTCTATGATTATCGCAATAAAATAAAAACATACGACATTAAACGTGATTTGTCTACTTATATCGATAACGTCGAGCTTTATCGTGACCGTTGACTTTAATATCTGCGTTATATATTTAAGTAATATCAATAAAAATTACATAATTTAAATAATATCAATAGAAATTATTCAGAAATGAATTGAGATAGAAATAAAAAGAAGTTTGTCAATTTATAATTTTGTCTTTTGAAGTTAATGAAATTTATTGTTTAATAAATTGTTCATTTTTAATTTTTTTTCTAAACAATATATATAATTGTATCATATGTTTTAACATATAGTAGTCTAAAAAATTATCTAAAATTAAGTGAATATAATATACCATTAAATAATATTTGATGCATGATCAAAATTTAAAGCTTGAATATTATTTCATCCAACTAAAGAAGAAAGAGTATTGAGTGTTGTGAATGAATTATATCGAATTTGAATACTCTATATATTATATTATAAATATAATATTAAATATAATATTAAATATAATATTAAATACAATAATAATATTAAAAAAATTGCAATTTACATTTATAAATCTTTTGAAAAAATTATATTTTAGGATTAAACGATCGATTAATTTATTTTTTTTTTTTTTAATTTTTGAATTTGTGAAATCAAGCAATTTGATTGATATTACTTTTGATAAAGTTAGTTAGATGTCAAAATTCTTCTATTGAGAATTTCATCATTTCATCTGCAATTTAATATTATTATAATATATGTATAATTGAAAAAATATTTCAAGAATTTGTTTACTATCTTTTTCGTTATTATATAATACATTTTTTATATAATACATTTTTCCAATTAAAAGATTAAAAATGTGAATTATTTAGATAAGATTGTGGATTTTTATGCAAATATAAAAAAATTTCGTAATATGTTCCATATTTTACCTAAATGATATAAATATTTTTCTTTTCGTATTAATTTTATTTTCAATAATAATTAAATATTATAAACAAATTTAATCGTATTAAAATTGAATACGAATCATGGGCATGATATCAAGAATCATACAAAATTTTATACGACACATCTATAAAAGGAAAAGATTCTAATACAATATTGAAGCAAATTTAAAAATAAAAAAAAAATTGTTGCAATGTAAAATGATTTTTTTTTTTTAGTCTATAAATTATTTTTCTTAAACAAGAATATTTTTATTATTTATCAGAAAATTGTGAAAAAAATATTGTTGTACATAATGCAATAATAATATACATAATCGTGAATATATGATATTTTTATATTAACTTAAGTATATAAGTCAGCGATTTTTCTCGATTCATGAATTATAACTTTTTTTTCTATATTTTTTCCATGATTTTTTTCCTTTTCTTCGAATTCTCTTTTCTCTTCTTTTGCGCAATGAAATGAAATTCTCAATAGAAGAATTTCAACATCTAACTAACTTTATCGAAAGTAATATCAAATTACTTGATTTCACAAATTCAAAAATTAAAAAAAAAAAACAATTAATCGATCGTTTAATTCTTAAATAAATATATATCATACGTATGTACGATATAATTTCTCAAAATTTTTAAATAATACAACATATTTTTTACATACTATTCCAATATTTGACTATCTTTCTATCTAAAAATTCGCAGTCACGTAAATCTTAAATCATAAAAACATTATTCATGCTTCTATTTTACATAATAATCCATTCTCGATACGATATATACAGTTTTTATTCATATCAAATATTTCAAAAAATTCCATCATCCGATACATCAGAAATATTCCAAAACCTCGCAAACGTATTTTTCTCACGTTCAAAAAGCCATCCTTCCAAAAAAAAAAAAAAAAAAAAAAAAGAAGAGTTTCGAATCGTATTTACATTCGTTCTCGCAAACCTCGATACAAACGATCGAAATAAAAATCCACCTCTTTATCCTCGATACTTTAAAAAAAAAAAAAAAGAAAAAAATATCAAACGCTCGAAAAAACGTGCAAAAAATACTACAAAAAAAAACAAAGAAAGCTTACTCTTATGTTTCGAGCTGCTCTTCCACAACCCCCTGAAGAATGACATTTTGGCTGCCCAGCGCAGCACGAGATCCACCAGAACTGAAATCTTTCCTTCGATCGTAATCCCCCACGAAACAGTCGGTACAGACGCGCCCTGCTACGCCAGGCTACGTTCACTCGCGAAACGCGGCACGATCCTCGATTTCAATAACATGTGCCGCGTTAATACCCGA